CTTTACAGATGTTTCCACAACATGGAGAGAGATGCAGCATAATAACTTGTAACTAATAATGATGGTAACTTTGCATTTGGATTGTTTAAGAAATGTTACTTGTGGAGTGATTTTAGTTAACGGTACCTGTGTCACACATTTGCTTTGATCGATTATGGTGGACATAGTCACAATGAATCCAATGAATTCTGAATCCAATGTTTGCTCCATGCAGAGATTACAGGGTGAGGTTCTATGACCTGTGTTATGCCAGATGCCAGACTAGATGATCATAATGCTCCCATTCTGGTTCTAAAATCTAAGGATCACTTAAAGTAAATTATCTCTGCTTTTGACCCAAGATGTCTTACAAAGCATGCAAATCTCCTTTGTATCATCATTCCATAAATCATGAGTGAATTGTAGAGAGACAAGGTGGTTGAGGTAATATCTTTAATTGGACCTCTGTCTATTGGTGAGAGAGACATGCTTTCGAGCCACACTGAGCTGTTCCTCAGGTCTAGGAAAGGAACTCCCAGCCTCACAGCAAAATGCAAGGTGGAACAGATTGTTTTCCATATATAGTTAGCACCTACTGTAGCACCTACAGTAATTCAATTACTGAATTGTCGTCTGTGTATCAGTTTCAACAGCAAGTTAGATCCTAGTTTAAAACACTGCCTTGGCTGATGATGGGGCAGTGAAGATGCAATGTTTTGGAATCTTAGTTTGATGAACGTACCACTAACTTTTCATCTTATAGAAGTTTCTTTATTCTTAGTAAATTTGCTCTGAGCATCACACTGTATTTGCCTTGGGCACATAGTGAAAGAGGAAACTATTTTAATATAAATATTTTTTAAAGTTTGTAGTATTCGCATCCTAAACTGCTCTCAAATTTCAGGGCCAGAGCATCAGCTTTTGACTTCAGTGGAGCTATGCTGATTTACAGCTGTGGAGGATCTAGCCCACAGTTTTTAATGAAATGGGATAACTTGCATTTGATATTTAGCATGCTGAATGGAAACTATTGTTGTGAACAGACACAAATCAGATATTATGTAGCCTGTTTTGATGACTTAATAAATGCAAGGGCTAAGCTTATTTCTGGTTTTTTTTAATGTAATGACTTGGTCACAAATTAAGAATTGCAGAATGTCCTGAAGCAGTGTGTTGAGTGAATGTGGCAATGTAAGTTGTATGCAGTCTACCTGCAGTCGTGTAGGTCCCAGGGTATCAGGGACACAGGGTGGGTGAGGTAATATCTTTTTATTGAACCAACTTCTTCCTGACTGTTTCTGAACAGCTGCTCAAACATCAGTTTAATGAGTATCAAGCCAAAATATGTGACTTGTGATATAATGCAAATACGTATTGCAATTGCAAATTATTACATGCCCAGACTTCTGAAGGGGGTATATCTTCAATACTATATGAGAGAGGCACAAAACCTTTGTTTTATGTGTTAGGATTTTCACAGAGTCAAAGACAGTGAGGTAGAGTTGTGACGCATCCTGAGGGTACCCAGGGTTGTGAGGCACTTCATTACCACCTGCCCTGAGTGTGAGGAAAGCTTGTCTATGACTGCCAGGGGTCAGTTTCCCAATGCCACCAGCCACGGGCAACGCAAGCCCTCCCCACTAGGCCTCTGCAGGCGCCGCTCTCTCTTTACAGGTAGCAACAGGCACGCTCCAACCTTGAACCTTCTCAGCTTCTCTCTCGAGTGTCCAGCTCCAGGTCCACTGGACACTCACAGGATTCACAGATGTTCTGCTCCCAGAGAAGCAGTACAGCCCAGCTTACTAGTTTCACCTCAATCACTGCTCTGCTTACCACACAGCACTTATACTTCAATTCACTATGGACGTATGTAAGTGTATTTAACAAAGAATAGAGATTCAAGCAGTAGCAAGTATAAGTATTGGAAACAAATGGTTACATATAAAATAAAGTCATAACATGTATTCTAGAACCTAGACTTATTTAACTAGGCACTTTCATGTCTTATAGGGCAAAGCTCACCCAAAGTCTTCACAGCCGGGCCTGGCTGTGATCCCTCCTACATGAGATGAAACATTTTGCCCACTTGTATCCTAGGTAAAGGATCCTGGGTGTCTCTTTTGCTACCCCAGGTATAGCAAAACAATCCTTTGATCTTTGTTCATAAACTGGACACCCTCCTGCTGATTGCTCCTTCCTGTGGATTTTGCCATCTCTTGTAGATTTCACAGTCTTGATTAGCTTGTGGCTCAGTAGTCAAATAGACCCCCATTGTGAAATGGACAATACACACACTGACCAGACAGCGAGATAAGTGTCTGTTACCCTCTGACTGTACCTCCTCATTACCTGGCTCCGCTCCAAAGGTTTTGAGAATGTAATATTCAGTATAGATCTATAACTCCTTAAATATTACCCATAAATAAATTTTGCAATGATCATAACAAGCAGTGGGCTACTGACTCTCGGTAGAGACCCCACATATCACCCTTTGTAGAACTAATGTGCCTCAGGACATCCCTATAAAGCCCCATGCATCCACTCTGCCAGGTTGGATCACGTGGGTCACAAGTGGATTGTCTACTGACAAGCAGATTCAATAATACCCTTGCACTGTAGTCTGGCAGTAGGTGCTTCGCTGAATGTGTGGATCAACCAATGGTATGGCAGAGTGGAAATATGTCTCATCTTCCTCCACTCTCTTGCCAACCGACTGAGTCCTGAGGGCAGGTGGAGTTTTTGAGGCAGAAGTTACAGCAAGTTCCCAAAATCATCCATGCTGAGATTTGCAAGGCGAGAAGCCTCAAAAGTCTCTGCAGGCTTTTTTATAGATTCTTTTCAACCAGCTAAAGGGGTTCACTTTGCCCTACTCTTCTTTATTAGTAGACTGGATATGATAGAGACACGGGCAGCTCCTTGTCCATCAGTCCATCTCCTATCAAGTCATCACTGGGTTTCTCTCACCTATGTGTAATTATTTTAATACACCCGCTGAAAAAGCTGTAGGGCCAGATAGTTTTCCCTGCTGCTCTGTAAAAGGCTCATCCAAAGACTATTGAAATCAGTGTCACTCTGCTTTGGTGTCACTGGATCAGGCCCTGAGTGTCCAAGGGCAGGGAAAGGCATAAGGACCCTCCCACCTCCTTTCCATTCCCGCACAACAGTTGGGCCCAACTGCATCCCCCGCACTGCCGGGAGGTCATGACTTCTACTGTCTCTTTGCACAACACTTTTTAATCTTCACTAAATTTCAATTGTTAGTATTTGATCTCTTGTCAATGCATTCTTCTTCTTCTTCTTCTTCAATCTCCCTCTTGTGCTATGGCACATACGACTATTTGGTTGGGAAATTAAGTGGGGTGTTACAGTAGGTTCCTGCACTGCCCTTTTGTCTTTGTCAACTTAAATCCAGGTGTTACCCAGTGATGCAGTGAAATTGATGGTCTCATCTTAGATCCCTATGGTCAATTATCCACTTCACTGCCATACAAGTCAGAACTAATATCAGTTTCTGTTCAAGAACAGCTCCTGCCAAAAAGCAGAGCTGCTAGCTGCCTCTTTGATGCAGTTTGGATTTTGTCCACCTTTTTTTTCCTGTTAGTAGGGCATTCTATGAGGCCTATTAGAACTATGGCGGAAACCCATATAGAAATAACACTGAGGAGTTTTGATTTGACATCTTAAATTTTGTCCTAGGAAAATATTTGAGTCAGCTGTATGTATGTCTAAATAGTCCATTTTTATTGGAAATGATGGACATAGCAAGTTTTGATGTACAATCAGTGTGCCATTTTGCATATGCACATTAATAGTGTATTCTAAGGACAAGAAGTTATTGCCAACCTTGTGGGCATAGAGAATAGTTGAAATAATAAAAAACAGACCTGTCAATGAAAATATGAGATTTGAGCTGTTTTTTAAATGTCTGTCTGGAAAATTCCCTTCTTTGCTGGGAAGGAAAACAAAGTAGAGAGACTCAAAAAGTTTTACTGTAATTGATCTTAAAACATTAAACAAAGGATGCAAAATACATTCTCGTCACAAGCTTAGAGTAAAAGAGCCACCTAATGGTTGGTTTGGTTGTACAGACAATTGTATTATGCAGGGGATCTGTCTGTGAGGGCTGTACTCAGCCATAAAACCAAATCGCACACTCAACGAAGAGGAACAGCACTTACCAACCCTTCTCCTTTATAGACACTCTTCTTCTACTTCCTCTTTTGTCATGATCATAACAGGACCTCCTCATTCCTCCTCTCTGTGCTCATGCTCTCAGTAGGTCTCCGTGGCCAACTTCCAACTCCCTTCCCTCTGGCTGTCATATGTTTCGTATCAGGACTTATCAGGTTGCCGTGTTGTGCAAAGTGGCCAGTCTATTGAAAACATCGGGGCTTTCCCATCTGATGCACCCTTTAGTTCCTTGCCCATCCAACAGAAAGCTGAGTGTCTCAGAAATCTGGGTGCTTTTCACGTAAATGCCTTCTCAGTCATAACTTCTAGTGATGGTAAAAGTCACATGGCATTATTTCTGCGCCCTGATTGGATGACTGAATCTTTAAAACAGGAGGATAATGAATGACAAGGAGCCAATAATACACTTGTAGTATGAATTTTCAAACTAATAATTTGTGCTAAAATTCCTGAAAACTTTGGGATTTGAAACAAGCAATCATCTGAATATATGCAAGTAACGAATGATGTGAACCCACAAATAGCAGGAGGACAAAATGTTGGCTCATTTATTCACACATATTTGTAAATCTGTTCTTCATTATTCAATCAGCTCCACTGTGAAATGAGTTAGTGGTGTCACTCTAGTTCCTAAGGCCTGATCCTATCAGGTGCTAAGCACCTTAAACTCCTATGGAGTCAGTGGGAGTGGAACGTAATTAGAACCTTTTAGGTTCACGTGCCTAGTGAACAGATCAACCTATCTCGGAAAGCACCTTCTGGCTCCTTTACTAGAAGTCTCAGCAGAAAGGCAATGAATTAGATAGGAATGGAGACTGACTTACCCTCTTAGCCCTGGTCTACACTAGGACTTTAGGTCGAATTTAGCAGCGTTAAATCGATGTAAACCTGCACCCGTCCACACAATGAAGCCCTTTATTTCGACTTAAAGGGCTCTTAAAATTGATTTCCTTACTCCACCCCTGACAAGTGGATTAGAACTTAAATCGACGTTGCCGGCTCGAATTTGGGGTACTGTGGACACAATTCGATGGTATTGGCCTCCGGGAGCTATCCCAGAGTGCTCCATTGTGACCGCTCTGGACAGCACTCTCAACTCAGATGCACTGGCCAGGTAGACAGGAAAAGAACCGTGAACTTTTAAATCTCATTTCCTGTTTGGCCAGCGTGGCAAGCTGCAGGTGACCATGCAGAGCTCATCAGCACAGGTGACCATGATGGAGTCCCAGAATCGCAAAAGAGCTCCAGCATGGACCGAACGGGAGGTACGGGATCTGATCGCTGTTTGGGGAGAGGAATCCGTGCTATCAGAACTCCGTTCCAGTTTTCGAAATGCCAAAACCTTTGTCAAAATCTCCCAGGGCATGAAGGACAGAGGCCATAACAGGGACCCGAAGCAGTGCCGCATGAAACTGAAGGAGCTGAGGCAAGGCTACCGGAAAACCAGAGAGGCGAACGGCCGCTCCGGGTCAGAGCCCCAAACATGCCGCTTCTATGATGAGCTGCATGCCATTTTAGGGGGTTCAGCCACCACTACCCCAGCTGTGTTGTTTGACTCCTTCAATGGAGATGGAGGCAATACGGAAGCAGGTTTTGGGGACAAAGAAGATGATGATGATGAGGTTGTAGATAGCTCACAGCAAGCAAGTGGAGAAACCGGTTTTCCCGACAGCCAGGAACTGTTTCTCACCCTGGACCTGGAGCCAGTACCCCCCGAACCCACCCAAGGCTGCCTCCTGGACCCAGCAGGCGGAGAAGGGACCTCTGGTGAATGTACCTTTTAAAATACTATACATGGTTTAAAAGCAAGCATGTGAAAGGACTACTTTGCCCTGGCATTCGCGGTTCTCCTAGATGTACTCCTAAAGCCTTTGCAAAAGGTTTCTGGGGAGGGCAGCCTTATTGTGTCCTTAATGGTAGGACACTTTACCACTCCAGGCCAGTAACATGTACTCGGGAATCATTGTAGAACAAAGCATTGCAGTGTATGTTTGCTGGCATTCAAACAACATCCGTTCTTTATCTCTCTGTGTTATCCTCAGGAGAGTGAGATATAATTCATGGTCACCTGGTTGAAATAGAGTGCTTTTCTTCAGGGGACACTCAGAGGAGCCCATTCCTGCTGGGCTGTTTGCCTGTGGCTAAACAGAAATGTTCCCCGCTGTTAGCCACAGGGAGGGGGGAGGGTTGAGGGGGTAGCCACGCGGTGGGGGGAGGCAAAATGCAACCTTGTAACTAAAGCACATGTGCTATGTATGTAATGTTAACAGCAAGGATTACCCTGAAAGAGTGTAGCCACTGTTTTATAAAATGTGTCTTTTTAAATACCGCTGTCCCTTTTTTTTTTCTCCACCAGTTGCATGTGTTTCAATGATCACAGGATCTTCTCCTTCCCAGAGGCTAGTGAAGCTTAGAAAGAAAAAAAAACGCACTCGCGATGAAATGTTCTCCGAGCTCATGCTGTCCTCCCACACTGACAGAGCACAGACGAATGTGTGGAGGCAAATAATATCAGAGTGCAGGAAAGCACAAAATGACCGGGAGGAGAGGTGGCGGGCTGAAGAGAGTAAGTGGCGGGCTGAAGAGAGTAAGTGGCGGGCTGAAGAGAGGGCTGAAGCTCAAATGTGGCGGCAGCGTGATGAGAGGAGGCAGGATTCAATGCTGAGGCTGCTGGCAGACCAAACCAGTATGCTCCAGTGTATGGTTGAGCTGCAGCAAAGGCAGCTGGAGCACAGACTGCCACTGCAGCCCCTGAGTAACCAACCGCCCTCCTCCCCAAGTTCCATAGCCTCCACACCCAGACGCCCAAGAACGCGGTGGGGGGGCCTCCGGCCAACCAGCCACCCCACCACAGAGGATTGCCCAAAAAAAAAGAAGGCTGTCATTCAATAAATTTTAAAGTTGTAAACTTTTAAAGTGCTGTGCTTAAAGTGCTGTGTGGCATTTTCCTTTCCTCCTCCACCACCCCTCCTGGGCTACCTTGGTAGTCATCCCCCTATTTGTGTGATGAATGAATAAAGAATGCATGAATGTGAAGCAACAATGACTTTATTGCCTCTGCAAGCGGTGATTGACGGGAGGAGGGGCGGGTGGTTAGCTTACAGGGAAGGAGAGTGAACCAAGGGGCGGGGGGTTTCATCAAGGAGAAACAAACAGAACTTTCACACCGTAGCCTGGCCAGTCATGAAACTGGTTTTCAAAGCTTCTCTGATGCATACCACGCCCTCCTGTGCTCTTCTAACCGCCCTGGTGTCTGGCTGCGCGTAACCAGAAGCCAGGCGATTTGCCTCAACCTCCCACCCCACCATAAACGTCTCCCCCTTACTCTCACAGATATTGTGGAGCACACAGCAAGCAGTAATAACAGTGGGAATATTGGTTTCGCTGAGGTCTAAGCGAGTCAGTAAACTGCGTCAGCGCGCCTTTAAACGTCCAAATGCACATTCTACCACCATTCTGCACTTGCTCAGCCTGTAGTTGAACAGCTCCTGACTACTGTCCAGGCTGCCTGTGTACGGCTTCATGAGCCATGGCATTAAGGGGTAGGCTGGGTCCCCAAGGATACATATAGGCATTTCAACATCCCCAACAGTTATTTTCTGGTCTGGGAATAAAGTCCCTTCCTGCAGCTTTTGAAACAGACCAGAGTTCCTGAAGATGCGAGCGTCATGTACCTTTCCCGGCCATCCCACGTTGATGTTGGTGAAATGTCCCTTGTGATCCACCAGAGCTTGCAGCACTATTGAAAAGTACCCCTTGCGGTTTATGTACTCGGCGGCTTGGTGCTCCCATGCCAAGATAGGGATATGGCTTTAGTGTATGGCCCCACCACAGTTAGAGAATCCCATTGCAGCAAAGCCATCCACTATGACCTGCACATTTCCCAGGGTCACTACCCTTGATATCAGCAGATCTTTGATTGCGTGGGCTACTTGCACCACAGCAGCCCCCACAGTAGATTTGCCCACTCCAAATTGATTCCCAACTGACCGGTAGCTGTCTGGCGTTGCAAGCTTCCACAGGGCTATCGCCACTCGCTTCTCAACTGTGAGGGCTGCTCTCATCTTGGTATTCACGCGCTTCAGGGCAGGGGAAAGCAAGTCACAAAGTTCCATGAAAGTGCCCCTACGCATGCGAAAGTTTCGCAGCCACTGGGAATCATCCCAGACCTGCAACACTATGCGGTCCCACCAGTCTGTGCTTGTTTCCCGAGCCCAGAATCGGCATTCCACAGCATGAACCTGCCCCATTAGCACCATGATGCATGCATTGGCAGGGCCCATGCTTTCAGAGAAATCTGTGTCCATGTCCTGATCACTCACGTGACCGTGCTGACGTCGCCTCCTCGCCCGGTATCGCTTTGCCAGGCTCCGGTGCTGCATATACTGCTGGATAATGCGTGTGGTGTTTAATGTGCTCCTAATTGCCAAAGTGAGCTGAGCGGCCTCCATGCTTGCCTTGGTATGGCGTCTGCACAGAAAAAAGGCGCGGAACGATTGTCTGCCATTGCTCTGACGGAGGGAGGGGCGACTGACGACACGACTTACAGGGTTGGCTTCAGGGAGCTAAAACAAAGGGGGTGTCTTTACATCAAGGAGTATTTCAGGCAGGACTTCACGGAGGGTTCCAATAAGAAATGGTGCACCTAAGTTATTGTTCTTATTGGAACAAGGAGGTTAGCCTGGCCTCTGATTGATACATGGCTAGATTTACCTCGCTGCACCTTCTCTGTGAGTGACTTCAGTGTGACCTAGAGGAATGAGTCCCCTAGACAGGGGAGGGGGGGAAGCAAATGAGTACAAAACAAATCTGGTCTATTTCTTGTTTTGATCCACTCCATCTATCTTTTACATCTTTGGCTGGCAGCAGACAGTGCAGAAGGACTGCATGCCATCCACATCTCATGGCTGCTCGGCAGAAGATGGTACAGTACGACTGCTAGCCATCCTCATCTCTTCCTCCTGCAAAATGGTACAGTACGACTGCTAGCCATCCTCATCTCTTGCCTGCCTGGCAGAAGATGGTACAATACAACTGCTAGCAATCCTCATCTCTTGCCTGCCTGGCAGAAGATGGTACAATACGACTGCTAGCAATCCTCATCTCTTGCCTGCCTGGCAGAAGATGGTGCAGTACGACTGCTAGCAATCCGTATTGCCTGCCTGCTCACCATAAGACGGTTCACTAGGACTGACTGCAGGACTAAAGAGAATGACCTGGTCAAGTCACTCCAAATTTAGTCCCTGCGCCCATGTCTGTCCAGGTGCTCCCAGCCGACGTGGCCAGGAGCACCTCGGACATGATGATGACGGCTACCAGTCGTACTGTACCGTCTGCTGCCACAAGGCAAGGGGTTGCTGCTACTGTGTAGCAATGCCGAACCGCGTCTGCCAGCACCCAGGAGTCATAGGGTGACGGTTACCTGAGTGGGCTCCATGCTTGCCATGGTATGGCGTCTGCACAGGTAACTCAGGAAAAAAGGCGCGAAACGATTGTCTGCCCTTCCTTTCACGGAGGGAGGGAGGGAACGGGGGCCTGATGATATGTACCCAGAACCACCCGCGACAATGTTTTAGCCCCATCAGGCATTGGGATCTCAACCCAGAATTCCAATGGGCAGCGGAGACTGCGGGAACTGTGGGATAGCTACCCACAGTGCAATGCTCCGGAAGTCGACTCTAGCCTCGGTACTGTGGAAGCGCTCCGCCGAGTTAATGCACTTAATGCACTTAGAGCATTTTCTGTGAGTACACACACACTCGAATATATAAAACAGATTTCTAAAAAACCGACTTCTATATATTCGACCTTATTCCGTAGTGTAGACATACCCTTAGACTGCTGGCTTCTCAGGTACCTAGGAAGGGTAATGTGGGGAAGCTTAAACTGTGCCTGCCTGTTCAATAGATGGACATCTGTAGAGTGCACAGAGGAGCTACAGTAGCAGAGCTGTCAGTCCAGCATCTTTCATGAACATGAACTTCACTCTGAAACGTTTTCAAAACCAAAGAAAAGGAGAAACAGAGACAGAAAAAGTTTTATACAGTTAATAAAACTACTTCTCATGACCAATGCTCTGCAGGCTGCCAGCTGTGCTAATGGAAGGAAAAAGGGGTGGGAAGTAGGTAGAACATTTGGAGATGGATAAGGAAAAAATGGAGATGGGAAATGTAAATGTTCTAGAGACAGTGATAAATCCCTGGTACTTGTAATACCCACATTACTTTCTTCTTATCAGCTGATGCTCAGCAACTGTAGTGATGAAGCCAACATAAGTATTGAGGCACGTAAGGTAATTAGATGGCACTGCCTGGTAAGTGGGTTTTTAAAAATAATCGTGGTGGGTGAAGAAATCCCCTGGGTGTGATAAGGAACTGCACATCGGGAAGCCCTGAATTGAAGTGATGCAACATAACCTGATATATTATGGAGAAAAGTGGCAGTGTGAGTACTTTTAGTAGATCACCCTGTCCTCTTTTTTTTCTCCAAAGAAGTGCTCCTCTTCTAGATAAAATATTTCCATGGCCATGAAGTTTATCACTTCTGGAAATAACATAGGTATTGTAGGCAGGAATGCTGTCAGAATATGAATCTTTCCAATGCTGTCAGGGACCAGAGCATGAGTGGTCAGGTGCAGAGGTTAGAGACATAGACGGTTGGGTGGGAGAAGATCAAAGTGGAGTCAATAGCCGGGGCCAGAGCCATGGGTCTAGCCCTGGTCAATTGCCAGGAACTGGAGCCAACAGTCAATCTTGAGTCAATACCCAGGAACAAGCAAGGAAACAGAAACCAGAGATGAGGCAGGGTCTGTCTCAGCAGCAGGTCGGAGATCTGCCCTGTTGCACAGACAATTTGCTTGTGCTCCCTCCAGACTTAAATGGTAGGTCTGGGTCACTTGGAAGTTGTGAGAGGAGCTGCTAGTCATCTCTGCTGTGGGTGGCACTTCCCACAGTGACTGATCTCACAGGATATATGGTGCACTGACCAAGGCTGCCCTGTGGTGGTGTGGAAGTGCTGCCCACCCAGAACCCTGCGTACCCAGGTTCAAGTTTCGTGCATTTCCCCACAGGCTATTGAACATTGCATAGGGCATCAACAATGCTCTACCAGCCCTGTCTATATTGTGCCAGAGATGCAGTGGTGAACATTTACCAGCAGAATGGTTTTCACCTCTCTCCTACTTACTGAGTAAGGCTTTATTAATTTACAGAGAAAAATAACCTCTCATTCATTATCCCTCTCAATCTGATCTGTCAAGGGACAGCATCAATTTAAAAATCACTTCTGTTTGATGATCTTTTTGCCTACTCTTGCTACAAGTAGCACTTAAGAGTATCAGAATTGGAGGAGATGAGAAGTAAAATGAATTTTCTAATTCTGAGATTGTTTACTTGGTGCATTTGACAGCCCTGTGTATACACAAGTTTCACCATTTCCCCTGGCAGCATGGGTCTTTTGTATAACAGAATGGAAGAAAAAAACACATTGGGAAAAACAGGAAAATGTGGGGAACCTATGAAAATTGGCAGGGGAGCTAAGTAGCAAGTGTAATTCTGGGAACTACTCTTATATTTCATATTTGGAAATAGTCTAAGCAGAGAGAATACTCTACCAGACCAATTAATTGGCTTGAGGGAAGCTGTGCACAGAGATCAGCACAAAGCTGTCCCAATGTACCAGAGAATATGGCCCCATATCAACGGCAGTGACTTTTGAGAGCACTTCCAAACTTTAGGTAGGGCTTTACCAGAAACCCCCTCCCTATTTCTCTAAGTGTATGTGTGGGGTGTAAAACTGTTCTTTGTGACATATTAACAATACCCAGGAGAATGGACAAATTGCTAAGGAGGAATACAATGAATAACACAAGCATATAAGTACAAAATCAGAAAGGCTAAGGCAAAAAAGGAGTTATGCGTAGCAAGGCACATAAAAGGTAATAAGAGATTCTTTAAATACATTAGGAGCAAGAGAAAGACTAAGGAAAGTGTAGGCCCTCTACTTGGCAGGGAAAGAGAGCCAA